AAGAAGAAGTTTTTGTTGAGCAACCTCCCAGTTTTAAAAGTCACAAGTATCAGGATCATATTTTTAAACTACAAAAGGCTCTTTACCATTTGAAACAAGCTCCTAGAGCTTGGTACGAACGGTTGAGCAAATTTCTTCTCTCAAATGATTTTCGATTAGAAAAGCGGATACTACACTTTTTATAAAAACTCATAAAGATGATATGCTTATTGTTCAAATTTATGCTGACGATATTATATACATCTTTGTGAAGAATTTTCAAAATGCATGAGTAAAGAATTTGAAATGAGCGTGATGGGTGAGTTAAAAATTTTTCTTGGCCTTCAAATTAAACAAACGAAAGAAGGAATTTTCATAAATCAAAATAAATACATAGTATACATGCTTAAGAAATTTGACATGTATGATATCAAGCCTATGAACACACCAATGAGCACATCTCTAAAGCTTGATAAGGATGAGCAAGGTACATCCGTGGACGTCACAAAATATCGAGGTATGATCGGATCCCTTCTTTATTTAACTGCTAGTAGACCCGATATTATGTTTAGTGTTTGCCTATGTGCTCGCTTTCAATCTAATCCTAAAGAATCATACTTAAAGCCTGTAAAAAGAATTTTACGTTATTTAAGTGGTACAAGAACTTTAGGACTTTGGTATCCAAAAGGCACTCATATTGACTTAATTAATTATTCGGATGCCGATTGGGCCGAATGTAATGTTGATCGTAAAAGCACTAGCGAAAATTGTCACTTTCTAGGCTTTGCACTTGTGTCTTGGTCTAGCAAGAAACAAAACTCCGTTGCACTATCCACCGCCGAGGCAGAATATATCTCGGCCGTTAGTTGTTGTGCACAAATACTTTGGATGAAACAAACTTTATGTGATTATCTTTTGACTTACAATCATATACCTATTTTGTGTGATAATACTAGTACCATAAATTTGTCAAAAAATCCCGTTTTACATTCACGAACTAAGGATATTGAGATTTGGCATCCTTTCCTTCGTGATCATACTCAAAAAGGAGATATTGAATTGGAATTTATAAAGACCGAAGACCAATTGACTGATATTTTTACAAAACCTCTAGCGCATGACTGATTTTCTTGTATTCGAAGAGATTTAGGTATTCTTGATGAAAATGAAGTGAATTAAGCGTTAAATCATTTATTTATTTTCCTTTTTGGTTTATGACTTTAATCTCTCTATTATATTTTTAAAAAAAGAGGGTTTCGAACGAGTCCGTCAGACGCGTCTGATACATACCAGACAACTATACTGGACGCGTCCGGTATATCATCCGGTTGGACAGAAACTTTTTCTGTCCTACCGGACGATCCGACAAACATTACCGGACGTCCGATACACTAAAATCTCAGAATTTTAAAATCACGACAGGGTCATTTTCTTCCCATTTTTCCCACCTTCTCCTTGTTCTTCGAACTCTCCTCCTCTCTTCGCTCAAATTTCTTCATCTACTCCTCTAATTTGTTACAAAATCACATAAAATCCATTAACCCACTTCATCTTCTTCATCTCTCCCTTACAAATTTTGTTTGTGTTTCAAAATTTCTCATTTCCCCAATTTGTGCCCTAACTACTCGATTTTCAACATTTTGCCTCAATTCAATCAATGCCGAGGACAAAGCAAGCTGGAAAAAGGGCAAAAATTACGGAACATCGGCCACCAACACCCTCCTCCAACGAAGAAACGGATTTTGAACCCGAAGAGGCGGTGAACCCACTTGAAAAATCTCCCACTCTACTAAGTAAAAATGTTGATTTTTCGACTTTTTCTGTTGAAGTATCTACTTTCCACATTCAAGAATTCTTTGAAAATATGGGATGGATTTCGATATGCTCATTGGAAGAAAATGCTTATCCTCAACTCATGAAAACTTTTTACACAAAAATGGTTATTACACCACGTTCTGATAGTATCTCTTGTTTAATTAAAAATGTAAGGTTCACCATCACTAAAGCTCTTATTCGAGAAATTCTTAGGATTGAACCATGTGATACGCAAGTCTTTGTTTATAAAGCTCACTCACCCTTAGAAGGTTATAATCCTAGTGACGCATGTCGTCGTGTGACGGGGAAAGACTTTGAAAATATCACAAAAATTAGTGCTAATCAACTCACTTTACCTTGCAAAGTATTGTTAAATATCATCGCAAATGTTATCTTACCTAGAATAGGACATCGAGATGAGGTTAATTATTTTGATTTGTTCATTCTCGATTCATTTCTCATTGGCCAAAAGTTAGATTTTCCCTCAATTGCTTTAGGTCTTATGAAACTTATCCATACTTCTCGGTATTCCAAAGCTTTGCCCTATGGTATGCTTTTAACAAAAAAATTCAAACACTTCAATGTCTCTCTTGAGGGTGAAGCCAACATCAAACCTCGTCCCACCGATACAATCAATATTCAAACCCTCAAGCGTATGAAAATCTTTAAAACTCAAGGACAATGGGTAGCTTACACTAAAGGGATCGACCCTGCCTCGGGTCCTTCTACATTACCATTCGAGGACGAAGAAGAAGCTGAAGAAGACGTCCCATTTCTCTCGCATCCACCACCAATTAGCACATCTTCCTCTTCTACCCGAGGATTCACTTTTACCGAGGATCAGTATAATTTACTCACCGGGCGTCTCGACTCTCTCATGATGTCGGTTGATGGGCTTGGTGGTGTTCTTCAGAATGTCCAGTCACAACAGGCCACGATACAGGCTCAGCAGGATGCCATTCTTGCACATCAGGCTGAAATGCAAGCTCAGCAGAATGCGTTCTATGCTCACTTTTATGCACATTTTCCACCATCTCCTCCGGCGCCTTAGTTTTTGGTCTTGTTATTTACCTTATGCATCTTTTATTGTACTCCCGAACTCATTATGACTTTATCTTTTGACGTTTTGGTTATGATATTATGGACTTATGTTACTTCTCATATTTGTCATTTTTTTTATTATGCCAAAAGGGGGAAAAATATTATGAGATGATATGCATGATGCGTCAATTATGAGATGATTTACATGATTTGTCAATTATGAGATGATTTACATGATTTGTAAATTATGAGATGATATACATGATCTATCAATTATGAGAATACATGATGATAGGAATGCTTAAGTAAGGGGGAATACACATATAAAAGATAGGGGGAATTATTTCGTTATTTTTATCTCCATCATCTCATGTTTGTCATAATCAAAAAGGGGGAAATTGTTGGCCTACGGTTGACTTCTCGCTTTGATTATAACAAACATATTTTATTTAACAATTGTATTTAAGCGATTATAGAAGTTTACGACAAGCGGAGCTCTTGCAAGTTTGGACAAAGTGGAAACCAAGCTACATATCAAGACAACGATCACTTCAAGAATAAATTAGAAGAAAATATATTTAGACACCTTGATTTCAAATGTTAAGTTAAAACACTTTAGTATTTGGCATATACGTCATTTGAAGCTCAAGAAACGTTTTTTCACACAACAAACACGATTTTTGCATAAAGAAAAGCATGACCCTATTACATACTTTTAGACATGTCAAAAAGTCTGTAAAACATGTTAGAAACATCCTTCATGAATTTACATTTTGCTACATTATTTAAAGAAGGAAAAATCCAAAAATATGTTGATCTAGAAGACGCATCCGGTAGGTCTAGCGGACGAATCCGATAATTCTAACGGACGTCCGGTATGACAGGTTTGTCCAACGGTCAAGAAATCGAACGTTTTGACTTCTGAACAAAAAACGGTCAGTTGACCGTCTGGTAAGATAGCGGACGTCCGATAGCTTCGTTCGGTAGAACAGAACATTTGGCCATTTTTGTTGCTATAAATACTAGATCACTTTGCATTCAATATAAGACTTTACATGATCAATTCAAAGTGAGATATCACTAATCTATCTACTCAATCACCTTTATACATCTATTTCTTCAATCTATTTATTAGAAAAACATTTGATTGATCAAACTTTTGAAAATCATTCTTATCAAAGTGTTTTTCTTTTCTAACACTTGAGCTTCAATCATTTCTATCTACTAAAGTGTTAGCCATCTTCTCTTGTTGTATTCAACTTCAATTATATCATTTATTGCAAGAGAAGTCTTCACTTGTATACTCATTATCTTTCAAACTTGTAGGTCGAGTTGAAGTCCCGAAAATTTCAACATTGTAAAGGAACGGTGCTCCTCACTTGTAAGTCATCGAAAGCGTTGTAAATGGTTGGATTGCACTATAAGTCAATCAATATAGTGAAAAAAGCATTGCTCGTGACGGAGAGCTTGGTAACGGGGGACGCAGATCGTGATTTGATCGAACCTCCTTATTACATCGTTTGCACTCTCTTTTCCCTTCCTCTTATTACTTTTGTGTTATCTTGTTTATTCATAATTATTTGTTTAAATTTTCGCTTATTTTCGAAAAAGGATCGAATAACCAATTCACCCCCCTCTTGGTTAGTTGTTCTTGGGCTTTCAGTCAAGTTTCTGTAAATTCAAAATGTAGATATTAAATTCATGGAACAAGTGTTACTTAACTCGAACACCTAATAACCAACTAGACTACTTAAAGACCTAAGGGAGACGAGGTAGAGCTGATGAATTCCTAAATAAAAAAAATTGTTGAAATGAAATAAACTATCCTATAATTCAAAACAAATAAAATAAGTGAAAAGGTAAGAATGCTTGGGTTGCCGCCCAAGAAGTGCTTCTTTATAGTCACTAGCTTGACTCAATCGCAACGCCTACGGTGGATCCTCATGTGGCACATTTCTCTTGTTTCTAAACTTTATCTTCGGCTTTGTATTCTCCTTCATTGTAAGATGGTGAACAAACTTAGGCTGTTTTGACCTTGGTATGGCTTTCAAAACCTCTTTTGGTTTGACAATGTTTGGAGGTTTCAAACGGCTATCTACATAGCTCTTTTTTTTGTCAAGTGGGTCAGCTTCTTGAGCTAAGATGAAATCCACTGCTTTCTTCATTTATAAGTCATTACCATCGGTAGATGCATCCCTTGTTGAGTAACTAATTTCCATGTATTGTACCAATGGATCATAAAATAATTCCCTTTTTTCTCCGTTTCCTGCAATTATTTCAGCTGATTGGATCATTTTGCAAGTGTCAACCTTTCCTTTTTCTGGAGCTTTCTTTTCTTGATGGATGTTGAAAGTTACTTGCTCTTCATTAACTCGTAGTGTCAACTTTTCTTCTTGCACATCAATCAATGCTCTTCCAGTAGCCAGGAAAGGTCGGTCATGAATCAATGGTACTTTCTTATCCTCATCCATGTCTAATACCACAAAGTCCACCGGAAAGATGAACTTATCAACCTTCACCAACACATTTTCAATAATGCCTTTGGGATATATGATCGATCTGTCCGCCAGTTGCAAGGTAAGGGTTGTGGGATTCACTTTTCCAAGACCCAGCTTTTTGAACACTGATAAGGGCATCAAGTTTATGCTAGCTCCAAGGTCACATAATGCCCTATCAAATGTGATACCACCAATATTGCACGGGATGTTGAAGCTGCCCGGATCTTTCAATTTGTGAGGGAGCTTCTTCTGAAGTATGGCACTACACTCCTCTGTCAGCTTAACAGTCTTAAATTCCTCCAACTTTCTCTTCTTTAACATCACTTCTTTTAAGAACTTGGCATGGTTAGGCATTTGGGCCAAGGTTTCTGCAAAGGAAATGCTGATGTGGATTTTCTTGAAGACCTCCAGAAACTTTGCGAATTTTTCATCAAACTCCTTCTTCAAATCCCTCTGCGGGAATGGTAGTGGGGGCTTCAAGATAGGTGGGCCGGAAATGAAATTGAGTAAGGCTTATAAATCTTCTTTGTTGCCTCTGCCTCAGTTTTCTGCCCTTCAGTCTGCTTTTCCCTTGCAAGAATGGGATCCGATGTAGGTACCCTAACCTCTCTAAGCTTGCGTTCTTCAACTGCTTTACAACTTCTTAGGGTGATAGCATTGCAGTGTTCCCGTGGGTTAACCTCTGTGTCACTGGGAAATTGTCCTTTTTGTTGAGACTGTATTGCAGTTGCTATCTGACCAATCCGTACCTCTAAATTCTTCACTGTAGTCCCCAAGTTGGTCATATGTGTCTCAATGCTGTCAAGTCTTGCCTCATCTTTGTTGAACCTCGATCTGGTCTCCGAAATGAAGGTTCCTAAAATATCTTCCAGTGATGGCTTTCGCTCAAACGCTTGATTATTGAACCCCTGATAGTAGTTGTTTCTTGAGTAGTTTTCCTTTTGATTGAAATTCTGATCGTTCACATACTGAAGATGTTCATTCTCCCTTTCAACTTTTCGGCATACAGTGGATGTAGCCATAATAGATTCTGATTTCTTTTGTGATCCATGTGAAGTCAATGCAGCTATTTGATTTGTGAGAGATAACATTTGAGTTGCAAGGGCGGTAATAAGATCTACTTCATAAAGGCCAGTAACTTTCTTTGCACTTGAACGCTCACTCGGCCATTGATAGCTATTAGTGGCTATCCATCCAATAATGCATAAGCCTCATTTGGAGTTTTGGATATTAATGCACCTCCTGCTGCAAAATCTACCACTATCCGTGTCTAACCTTTCAAACCGTTGTAGAAGGTTTGTATCTGCAACCAATTCGGGTAACCATGCTGAGGACATCTTCTGAATAGATCTTTATATCTCTCCCATGCCTCATAGAATGGTTCAAAGTCTAATTGTCGAAACTGTCCATTTCACTCCGTAATTGCGCTGCCTTCGAAGGTGGAAAGAATTTTGTAAGAAACTTCTGCGCTAACCCCTCGCAAGTTGTGATGGATCCATACGGCAATGATTGGAACTATGCCTTGGCTTTGTCTCTTAGGGAAAAGGAAAATAGACGGAGTCGAATTGCATCTTCAGTAACGTCATTCATTTTCATTGTATCACAGATCTCTAGAAAGGACCCCAAATGAGCATTTGGATCTTCTGTTGGAGCTCCCCAAACTGATTCTGCTGCACCATGTGTATAAGTCCTAGCTTCAGTTCGAAATTGTTTGCAGCAATTGATGGGCAAGCGAAGCCAGAATAGTTGTAATTGACAACCGGCCTTATGTAGTCCCGAATAGCCATTTGTTGGTTATCCTTATTGGCTGCTCTAGCATCCTGTTCTACCATTATTTCCCATTTGTTTCTTTGTATGCCTCTGAAAATGCGAAATGTGCGTTCTGGTTCAGGATCAACAGGTAGTAGTTCTAGATTTCTCGCCCTTCGCATAAACAGTTGAAAATAACCACAAGGAAGCTCTTAAAAATAGACACAAAAAGAATAAAATAAAAATAAAAATTACGATAGAAATACAAATCTAAAGTAAAATGAAAGCTAATTGGTAATAATATCAATTGAATCAAATAAATCAATCCCCAGTAACGGCGCCAAAAACTTGCCACGCGATTTATGCAACGTGATTTTTAAACCGCAAGTGTACGGTGTCAAGTTTTGTAATATAGTAAAGAAGTTAGGATGTCGAACCCACAGGGATTGATATTCGAATCTATTGAGTACTATAATTATTTTAGTTTTCCCTTTATTTAGACGATCAAATTTTGAGTCAATATTTTTATGCTAAATTAAAATTAAATAGGATGAACGATGCAAGTAAACGAGGGCAAATTATGAAGTTTCTTATCAAATTATGAATGCCTAGGGAATGATTTCACCGTACATTCGACAATATTTTTCAACCCTATAACTATTTCTATCAATCTTTCCAAAATTTATAGGCAAGAACACTAAATTGATTCTACTTCCCTCTCTCGAGTGCCAAATAAAATCTACTTTTCTATTTCAATTCCTATATCTCTATTCCGAATTAAAAATATAAAAATTATCAAGCAAGTGGTTCTTAATTTAAAACATGCCTCAAAGATTCACACTTTCTTTCGAAACCTACGAAATCTAGGTTATGTTGTCTTAGATCACGCCTAAATTTGCCTCTCTCGAGTGCCAAAATTTAGAACATCAAATCAATCAATTAGTGACAGTTAATTGAAAGCATTGCGCACAAACAACATAAATAAATAAACGGAAAGATCAATTGAAATAATTAAAACGGAATCCAAACATGTCTAAAGTAGGCTACATCATAACCTAGACTTAAAATTTAGTGCATAATTAAAGGAATTGACATGAATAAATTAATAAGAAAGAACATAGAGAAGAAAAGGAATAGAAAAACTCATTTTTGTCGCTCGATTTCTTCTTCTGTTGTTGCCAAATTCTCTCAATTTAATTCCTCTTCTTTAATTGTATTGACCAGCTGTGGGTTTGTCTCCAGATTTTTGCAATTGGCCAGCTGGAATCCCCTTGGATTTGTCTCCAGATTGTCCCCTTGAAGATTCTTGTAATTGGTCGACTAAACTCATCTTTCCAGCCACGTGTTCTTGCCGGTTGCTTCTAGTTTTCCTTGCTCGTTCTCCTCCTCTTAATTAGGTCTTTTAGGTAGTATTTATAGTCTCCTCAAGTGTTGGACGATTTTGGGTTGGAATGGGCCGAGAAAGGAGTCCCAAAATATCAAAATACGTTTCCCCACATAGGCGGCGCCTCAGCGCCCAATATGGGCGCTGCGGCGCTACCCTTACTGTCAAATTCAGATTCATGGGCGCCACGACTCCCGGTTATGGTGAACCTTCTGCATGTCCTTCAGTATTTTTAGCATAACTTTCTCGTTCGATGTCCAATTGAGGTGATTCCAAACTTGTTAGAAAGCTAACTCAAAGGGGTACAAATTTTCTTTAGATATAATTCTCTGCTTCGATCGTTTGCTATGTAAAAAATGAGTCTGAATGTGAGGCTGAAATTCTAGAGCAAACTTTTCGGTTGGAAATTGATTTGTGATCATATTTTGACTAAATTTGATCCCTTTGACATCTTTTTTCATCCAATTGACTCCTAGCATGCTCGGATCTTCATTGCAAGGTTCAACACAACTTTTCAATATTTGCGCTTTAGTCCCCAAACTTGGATCTCTTACAATTTGGCAATTTTCTCCGATTTCGCCAACTTTTTCTTATTTCTTTCAATTTCATCAACCTACATCACAACATCAAAATACACAATAAAAAGCTCTAAAATGATCTCAAGAGTAACAAAATAACAAATTAGGTGGCATAAATATTATGAGTGTAGAGCACTCATCAATCAACGATCTAGAAGAATAGACAGTAATGTAGGTAATCAAGGATTAGCAACTTTGAATACTTTTGGACAATTTGTAGTTAGAATGCCTAGTAGAAGAATAGAAAGAAGTATCAGTACTAGAGAACTCTCAAGCTCTAGTAGACCTCTACAAGTAGAAATTACACAACTTTACCTAGAAATAGTATTGATATTGATTTAAGAAAAAGTGAGGAAGATAATTTCCTTATATTAACAGAATATTTCAATAATCAAAATAACTATGAAGAAATCATAGCCCTTGCAGGATCTTGTACTAGCCATATAAGAGCATACTTAGTCGATCATTTAGTAGAAGAAAATCTGCCACAAGGAATAACTCTTACAGATTATCATGGAATTAAATATGAAATTAAAACATTTGTTAATCTTGAAATAAGTTTTATTGACATAGAAGGAGAACAATTTAAGCTAAACCTTAAAATTCATAAAGATTATAGAAAAGGAAAAGATACTAGCCCAATATTACTTGGAATGAACTTTCTTGAAAAGGTATCACCATTTGTTATTCAGAAAAACATACTGCAAATAACAGTTGAAGGTAAACAAAAAATGTTGCCTAGAGTTAGTAAAAACAAAGAATTAATTTATATGATACAAGGAATTAGATCAATCAAAACTAGTATTTTGAGCCCATATATTGAGATAACTCTCAATTTACCAAACTACTGTATGATAAGATTTCATGCAATACTTGATACTGGATCAAGAATTTGCCTTTGTAAAAGAAATGTGTTCCCAGAACACTATTATAAAAGCGATTATAAGAAAACAACTTACGATCAAATAACTAGTGATATTGTTGAAATATATAGAGATTTTGTGAAAAATGTTCCTATTATTATTGGAAATAGAGAATGTTTTATTTCACGAATATTCGCTACAGATAAAATTGGATGTGATATTCTCTTAGGAGAAAATTTTATCTATACATATAGCCCTTTTATGCAAAATAAAGATAGTTTTGAATTTACTACACCTTGTAATCACAAAATAGTTTTGAATTTACTACACCTTGTAACCACAAAATTAAAACATCCAAAATTTATAAAGCAATTGGAATTGCACATCATCCGATTAACCAAAAACCTAGACATCAGAGTTCTACAAGTAATCGTGGCGGATGTTATACAGAAATCAATCAAAAACAAAGAATTCTTGTATTAAGAATTAACAAGTTAGAAGAAGAATTAGAAAATATTAAAAATGAACTAAAAGGATGTTATCATGAACATCCCTTAGCGAAATGGGACAAAGATAAACCTATGGTAACTATTGAATTAAAAAATCCAGATGTTAAGATATCAGGAAAATAATTCCCTTATAGCAAAGAAGATAAAAAGTAATTTGAAATACAAATTAAAGAACTTTTAGGATTAGGAGTTATAAGATAATCATCTAGTCCATATAATAGTCCTGCATTTATGGTCAGAAATCATAGTGAAATTAAAAGAGGAAAAGCTAGAATGGTAATTAATTATAGAGATCTAAATTCTAAAACTATACCTAATATCTATAAATTACCAATAAAAGATTTGTTAATAAAACAAATCCAAGAAAGTAAATTATATTCTAAATTTGATTGTAAATCTGGATATTGGCAAATAAAATTAGACGAAGCATCAAAACCTTTAACTAGTTTTACTACCCCTAATCCATTAGGACAATTTGAGTGGAATGTTATGCCATTTGGATTAGTGAATGCCCCAGCAATATTTCAACAAAGAATAGATAAGATTATTAGACCAATAAAATTTTTTTGTATTACTTATGTAGATGATATCCTTATTCATAGTAAAAATTTAAAAGAACATATCGAACACCTTAAAAAATATTATTATATTGCTCAAAAATATGGTCTAGCCCTATTAGAAAGAAAGGCAGAAATAACTTAAACTGAAATTGAATTCTTAGGAAATATTTTTACAGAAGAGAAAATACTCCAACAACCTCATATTGGAAAAAGAGATTATCGAATTTCCAGAAATAATTAGAGATAAGAAAGTGCTGCAAAGCTTTATTGGGTTATTAAATTATTCTAAAAATTTTATAAAAAACTGTTCAAAATACAAATTCCACTTTACCAAAAAGCTTAGAAAAAGGAGTTGTATGGGAATGGACACAAGAAGATATTGAAATGATAAAGAAAATAAAGAAAATATGTGAAAATTCACCTGAATTAAATATTTCAAATGATGATGATTTCTATATTTTAGAAACTGATGCATCTCTATTACACTGGGGAGCGATCCTCAAAAGAAAAGAAAATCATAAAGAATTTCTTTGTAAACCATTGTGTAAATGCCCAGAAGAACTTGGTGCATACACTTCAGGTGCTTTCAAGGATGCAAAAACTAGATATGATATTAATCGTAAAGAATGTTTGGCTGTTAAGAAAGGAGTAGCAAAATTTGAACCTTAGTTGTTACCAAAGAAGTTTCTTATTA